ATACGAGAAACAAACGTAGGAATAATAAGTTTCATTATCATATTTAACGCTAAATACTTTATATGAGCCCTTGAATTTTGAGTGAGTAACGATCGAGCTTTTACACGCGGAGCTGCTTGAAATTCCGGTCTACCTGTAGAAGACAATCGCTTACAAACGCGTCGAGCAGAGAATATAATTAAACGATGCATATTCATAGAGCCATACGACCGTAAAAGTCACATTCACTTCTACGTCACGTAAAACTGATCCCAACCGGTAGAATCCTAGATTACGCGTTATACAGTTTAAATTTTCATCGCACCGGATGCTAGTTAAAAATCCTAGATACACATTCGATATGCCTAATTTAACGCTACATTTATAATAGACATTTCTCACAATGCCTGTGCACGATTAAATCTAGATTCTGACAATGGTTGATGGAAAGGATATTTGTACTGAAAAGTATGTTTCAACAGGTTGTTGATTCTGTACTCTCTACTTTTCTCGTTTTGAATCATCGTAAAAAATGTCAAAAAAATTAATTTACGCATAATAAAATTTCTTGCAGCATGTTCTATTCATATTAATCCTACATTTCTGAAGATAACGAAATGTTGAAAAAATTGCTCTTTGCAATTTATTAAAATAATCTCTTAATACTGTGAATGATATAAAGAACTGTTATTGAATTGAATTAGTTGAAAACATTTACGAGCTAAAACATAAAAAAAAACTGTAGAAAAATGCGAAATAAATTCGTTTATCAGAATATCCATCTTTATCGACGGATTTAACTGCCGATTATTCGTACCGGATAGCTCAAATGCGTTAATACTACGATTATTTCGTATACAGTGTTCGTAAAATACTATAATACTGTACAGAATTGTACAGCTTTTGTAAATGTCCAATGTTTTTCATCGTATCTCACATCGAAAGCTGACTATTATTTCGAGTAGCGTTGCAAAAATATCGCAGAAATAGATGGATCTTCTTATGCGCTTTAATTCTTTCGATGAAACATTTTTGCAGAAAAAAAATAAAAATATCCCTACTTTTGCATTTTCTTGCACGCATTCTTTCTCTTTCTTTCTCTCTCTCTTTTTTATATCTTTGCTTCTTATATATTTGCTTTTTTATATATTTGCTTCTAATTAAATACAATCAAATTACTTCATTTTAATAACGAGAAGTTTATAATTTTGCATGAATGTATTATTAAAGTATACTATTATTCATTTATTTGCCGAAACAAAATAACTTTTTATGCAGTAAATCGGAATAATTTTTGCAAAGTTAGGATCTTTTGTGAGTGCAGGTTTATTTTTTAATTTTCCAAGCTAGAAATCAAATTATTTCGAAATCACGAAATATTTAGAAAGAGATTTGTGTTCTGTTTCTTTCGATGATTCGCAATCGAGATAAATAGACAGCTGAATCAACAACCTGTTGAAACACGCTTTATAAGCGCATATGTAAAAAAGGATTTCTATCGCAAGAGCAGAATCTTTCATTCACGATGATGACAGTTGCCACTTGTATACGTTTTAAATGTACACAATTCATCAAGACGATTGTATGTATGAAATATACGAAAAGCACCAAAGAATGCAAATTAACACAATATGAAACGAATAAAAAAAAAAGTGAATCTGTAAAACCTCAATTATAAAATTTTTATAAGAAATAAAATAAAACAAGCTATAGTAAAGACACAGACTAAATATTACGTTTAATAATATATATTCTTATTGCTATTACTTTCGAAATTACATACATTTATTGCCACTCGCGGTTGAATTCATTAAATAAGCGATACTGCTTGATTCGAAATGAAACTTGGCTTCGATATAACCGCGATTTACTGCGCATAAAAACTTGCATTTCTCACTCGTTGACGTCTCTTGTGTTCCACGACAAATATAATATTTCCCGCAAAATGACGAAGAGATTTCGAATACAGGTATTTATTCGCAAAACCCGGAGAGATTAGTTTTGAATTAAAGCCAACTTTAAATTAATAGTCCGTTTGCCGGAAGACAACAAGGATATTTCATAAACTATTACCATGTGCTTGACAGATGCACCGACTATTATTCTTCAAAATCGACTGCCCGATTGATTGCAAAAATTTGCAGGGTATTTCGGATATTGGTTTTAAGTGCGAAGGATTTGAAACGACATATTAATCGCTTGAAATTTTTTCGCTGAAACCTATTTGCCTGTAAATGTAACAAGTAAATTGCATTTACATGCATTTTGTATGTTTCTCAGTTTAAATAAACGTCGCCGAATTCACTCGCTTTCTCATTAAGCATTCAGCTCCTGAATTCCGTGGATGCTGAATATAATTGGAAGATTTAAGTCGCTCGTACGCGCAATAGAAATTTTATTAATATGGCATTTGTCGGCATTATTTCATAAAATTATGTTAGAATTTCCTAGTTCAAAAATTTAATCTTTCATATCATAAACATCGAAAATAATAAAAGTAAATTAATATAAGTGCTATTACAATTCTTCAAAATAATTATAATTTAAAAGTGAAATGTGTATGTGTGTGTGTGTATGTATATACACATTATTAATTAATTAAATTTTCATTTAATAAAATTTCGTAAAATTTATTAAATTTTCATTTAATAAATTTTACGAAATTTCGTAATTTTCATTTAATAAATTTTATATATTAAATAAATAAATATATATATATATATATATATATATATATATATATAAACGAATAAATTCACTAAATGAATTTCTATTATCTAATTCGCATTATAGATCAAATCCACAGCACAATTATAAATAAAATAAAAATTTATAAATTCATAGTGTTTTATTGATTACAATTAAAATGGAAGAACCGTTTGTTATCCAAACCGTATAATGTATCGCAATTCTCGTTGATAATACAAAAGCCTGGTCAAATATCACAGAAATTTAACATTGATTTTTGATTTTCCATTCATCGCATTCAACCGTACACTCGTGGAAAGTCGACAGGACAAGTTGTACAATAGAATCGTATGAGACCTCTGGACTCTTTTGTAAGTTACTATTATACGAAGTTGCAGTTTTAAACTAAGTTATCAAGCTGCGGAAACGTGGAGACACTCGCTTTTTCAAGCTCACTGCGATGTTAATGCATTCGAAACCACGGGATTCTGCCTTTCGCAGCAAAACGAGGACATCGCACCGCAAGTCGCGTGCGAATATATATACTTATACATACTTATGTATGTTATGTGCATATAGTATAACACCTCTGTGAAGGTCAAAGGGTAGAAAGGATTTTCGACAAAAGGGCATGGAATTGCAGCTTTGTTTCGTGTAATCGCGAGCTGAATTTTGAATGTTCACCAATTAAGCATCTGACAAAAGCACATATTTGATTTTAAAAAATCATTAATTATTTAAATTGAATCGAATGGTGACTAAATGTCATATCAAGGCTGAGAGAGCCATCAAATAACAATAAATTCGTAATGATTTTGGAGAATAATTTTATTCATCAATTTTATTCATTCGATTATGTTATTTGTTATATTAATTGAAGAGATGCAACTAAAATGGAGTGAAATATACAAATATATAAGTTTGAAATATACAAATTTAATACTTTTATTATTATTATTATTAATGCATAATTTTTTTGATAAAAAAGAATTTTCGATGATATAAAAATTTAGAAATATCTTTTGATTTTTAGATATAATATATAATTTTAATATATTTTTAGATATAATATATAATTACATATTAGGAATATATTATATCAAAACATACCTCAACATTACGTGATAGTTAATGAAAGTGTAATAAAGTAAAAAATTTTTAGGCAATTTAAAATCGATAATTTTCTCCAGCAAAAATATCTAAATTCAATTAGTAATTTTTAAGTAATTAGAGATTAAAAATCAAGGGCTCACTTTTTTCGTATATACTAAACTTCACAAAATAGATAAAATCATATATATATATATATATATATATATATATATATATATATATATAAATGGTTAATTTCAAATAAATCTTATATAAAATTTCCATTTGATAGTCTTATTATATAAAATTAGAAGCCTGTAATGTGTGAAATATTAGAAAGTGATATTGATGATCTAAGTTAATTACTTTTAATATGCGAGATAATTTCATTATTTCAATTATTTTTCCTAAATTATAATATTGTTCTTGTCTATAATATGATTGAAAACAAACAACACGACCAAGTCTAATATCAATTGTAAGATGGATGCAAATATTGACGCAAATCATTTTGGGAATAATTCATTTTAATGTACAAGGTGGAGATATTATAATAAGATTAATGATTGTATATATATATCTAAATGTGTATAAGAAACTCACTGAAATATTTCCAAGTCTTATTTAAATAATCTTATATCATGTTATGACTAAATTATCAGTTTAATGATTTAATTTCTAATTCTTATTAATTTTTATCAATGCAAATACTTATCGTTTAAAATTTCACGGCAAATTGTTTTCTCTAATCTGTTTCTTTTATAAAGATAAAATATATTCAAATGAGAAATAAAAAGAATAATCTTGCATATAATATCTCTGACAAATTTGTATATAAGAAATATAACTTCTTTAATGGTTTCGATTTTAGAATAATATATTTACTTTCTCTAAAAAAAACCATCTTTACTTATTTCTTATATCTTTATATTAATCATAGAGCCACGATTGCACTCTTAGAATGTATCAGATTCAAATGAGTAGGCATCGCATAGCTAAGAAACATATCTGGTTTTACATTCATATGATAAAACGTAACAACCGATTGTGTTGAAGTGCAAGTAATCGAATATGAATATAATTTCTGCGATTTGATTGAACGAATGAGAGAGGCTGTAACAACCGGCATCGCAACGGACGCATGTCAGTCTTGCGAAGTCTCGAAATAAATAATAATAAAACGAAGGAAGAATGCGTGATAAGGTCCTAGAAAAGATAAAGATAAACGACAGTATATTTACCATTTCCGCGCCATCGTACCGACTCGGAGACGCTCCCCAGGTGTGCCGCTCTCACATCCTCGCTATCCTCATCGTCTTCAGCCGGCGCGTCGTCAACGAGAAAAAAACGAAACGCGCTAAATTATCAATCGCACGCGGTAATTTTAATTACCTATTAATAATAAATCGCCGACCGGTAAATCACACCGCGCGAGCGACTCGTACGAATCTCTCTCCCTCTCTCTTTCTCCCTCGGGTGGAGGGAAAGGAAGGACTGCTCTCTCGAAATCGCCAGACGCGACGGCGCGACAGAGACACTACGCGAGATGCGCACACGCGTGAAGCGCGGAGCCGACTGGCTCGGCCCGCCCGCCGCGATCTCCGGCCCCTGCGTCAGCGCCACCTGCTCCACACGGATGCTGCCCCTGCGGCCGCCGGTCGTCCGCCCGCACAAAGATCACCCTCATCTCTCGCACTGACCTGCTTGCAACTGGTGCGAAACCGACTGAGCGTGGAAGTGGCCTTTTTTTTAGACGATTTCTAGTAGAGCGAAAAATGGGGGAAGTTTCAGAGCGTATTGCGTCCATAGTTTGCGCTTATTAAACTTGAAAGATTAGTGATTGATCCTTCCTGTCATGTTCCAGCTGTAGTTCCAACTCAAATGAAATATACATATGTGTAAAATGTGTAGAAATAATACATTTATATTAATGCTGTTTAGTATTACATTAATTGATAATATATATTGATGATATATTAATCGATAATATTGTATATATTATATACAATAATATATACAATATGATATATTGATAATATATATATACATATATGTGTATAATATATATATGATTGTATATATGAATAATCGAGTTTTAATACGATGATAATAGTCAAATTCGAAGTGATAAATTTTAAATTACATTTTAAAATTTATGAAACGTCTATCAATGTTAATAATAATAAAAAAGTTTTTTATTGTTAAAAAATAGAGTATTTTAAGGGTCCATTAGTCAATCACTGAAAAACGAGGAAGATTCTCAGTTTTTATTCGTTAAAAAGATACTAGCCAATTTTAGATAATTTGTAACCGTGTTCAGTGGTATTTACCATAATCTTTTTATATGACAAGTTTTTGCCCTTCATCCCATTTTTCTTTCATTTTGCATATGTATGAAATATTTATAACGATCGTACGTACAGCATATATTATTATGAAGATGAAAATTTAGCACTTTTCAGTTTTATACATACCTTAAATATGTAAATCATATAAAAATTATAATTATATTATTATTAATTATATAATTATAAAAATTAAACAAAGAATTGATCATTTTTATATTTGTCAAAAGAAAAATTATATTTATATTTTAATATACGCATTCTCTGTTTCTCTCTCGTTTATATAATCAGCACCTAATATTAGCTTTCACATTTTATAATATTACCATTTTATAGTACTTTTAAAATTTTTACTTTTATTTTCTATTGAGAAGTTTCTTTTTCTTATACATACTATATTGGCATATCTTTTGTCAACGTATTTAATTCTCCTATATTTTTATTACGATAAAATGATTTATTTATAATAAATATTATATCACTATATGAAAAGAATTTTATAGAGGTTTCAAAAAGCCTTTGTGCTTTTGCCACTGAGTTGTTGACTACATAATCAACAAACAAATGTTTTTGTTATATAAAATTGTTGTCATTTTTTGGCAAAGTATCTTCCAATCATTAATAAAAATAGAAATTAAAAATAAATAATTAAAAATTAGAAAAATAATAAAAATTTGATATAATAACGTTAAATTCTATAATAAATCCAAATATATATGTTATGTCTATTATATAAGATTAATTGTGCAAAAGATGACATATGATATTTCAAAAGAAATATGAAGAGTATGTTTCTTTTTTTTTCTCACATCAATATACATTATATAGATAAAAATATTTATTTTATTTTATTAAAGTATTATTATTTTCTTAAATTGTAACATATTTAAAATTCCTTTTGTGTTAAATTTTAAACGACAAATATTACGTGTCAATAACGATAATTTTTGCGATTTATAATTGAGTGCGAATAACAAACTGGCAACTCAAATACAGATTGCACTTCACACTGGCTTTACAAAATATGTGTGACGAATTGCAGATGACGTTTGACTATAACAATTTACCATGCTGACCATACATCCATATACATCTACATACAATTCGTAATGTGTGCCTATTGTTCGCATACATGTCGCACTCGCAATAATTGGAATACATGTAACAATCTATGCTACAACCGTGAATTGGGCGTCTATCGATGTCACTCGGTCAGTAGATCTCTGCGTGTTCTGCATACAACGCTAATTTTGTAAATTAATTAATCGAGCGATTGATATATGCATATAGTACCAAATTTTCCAGATATGTATAACATAATATTATACAATGTATTATTTTTCGGATTGCGCTATTTTATAGAATAAAATTATAGAACTGAAGAGAGTTTGTGTAACATTTATATATTATGTAAGATCTCTTTTATTTCGTTTTATTTTACTAAAATATTTAAAAAATGTGCATTTTAGATTGCGATTTTTCTCAAAAATTTAATCAATATATATTAATATCTTCTAATTATTTATATTACGTCTAAAGATTATGCTTATTCATCATTCAAATATTATTAAATTTCAACGAATGTAAAAAATGCCTATGCAATAATCTTATCACATTTTCTATTATTTCTTTGTCTAGATGTAAATAAATTTATCAAAAATTAAGATAAGCTATTGTATAATTTTATATTTTAATAAATCAGTATATATACATAGATGAAGATAATGAGTGAAACTCCACGTGTATCATGATTGCTTTCGATTATACAGGATGTCATGTATGAAAGATTAGATAGTATGCGAAACTTTAACGCTTAACCAGATGTGGCAAAGTTTGCATTGCTTTAATACATTAGCATTTATAAAAGAAATCATATTGAGTTTAGAATTATTAATTTACTTTAATTTTCAATATCGAGAAATTCTATGAAGAATTATGTATTCTAATAAGCCAAAATACTATGTATTGCTAACAAGTACTTTGATAAAAATTGCAAACTCAGATTTATAGTATTTAAAATATTATAATTATATAATTTAAATTATAATTTTATATATTAGTTAAGAGTACGTAACAGTTTCTATGGATATATTTTCATTTTATATATATTAATAACATACTTTCCGGAATTTTCTAAAATAATGAATTTTTTAGTTGTTAAAATATCCTTCAAAATCCTATCCTTCAATATCCTATCATTTTCTATTTTTACGATTATTTAATCAAATTAATTATACTAATTGTAACTTTGCATGTGTTATATTTATATATTTAATGAAAAGATTTGCTTTTGATATTTTGATAATATGCACAGTATAAAAAGCAGCGAGTTTAATTATGTTTCATAATATTATTGTACAAAGCAATATCGCTATATAATCGTGTTGATTGATGCATACTAGAATACATGGATTCACTGCAATTACCGCTTCTATCCATTTTAGCATTTATCTTCGTATCTCCATTCTCATATACTACATACTCTCTTGGTGTGCAAATATTTGGATGTTTAGCAATTAACGGAGAAGATATTCAATAACTTATATATGGGAAATTCTATGAAGAACTGATGATGAGGGTGAACTTTACACAATCACAAATAAAGATTAAAATATTTTATTTATTTTGGATATTACTATATCTCGAGGATTAGAGAAATTCGACGCATTTAGGAAAAAGAACAACATATGCTCTTTCTTTGCTCTTTTATTGACTTATAGTATATATATGTATCTTTACATCCGGATCCACAAGCCGGATTTATAAAATCCACCTTCGATTATACTCTTATCTTATTCTGTTTAAACATCGTTCATTTATATAACATAGTACTGATTCTCATAGCAAATATTTCGAGCGAAAATGCAAGAGTGTATTGCACAAACAACAAAGGACACATACAAAACGACGATATTAGGGAAATTGCTATCATAATATATATATTATGAATATATAAAACAATGTAGAGTATTTATATATTTTTCTTGCATACGCATTCCATCATTGCATTTATTATATGATGCAAATCATATGTGAAATTGATCGTTGTGTCTTAACAATGTCAATCGTAATACACGAAAATCTGAAAACAAGATATTACGATTATATCTCACGTATCTCAAAAAAGGCGTCGTTATAAAGTCGAGAATAATAGACTATTATACATTAAACAGTTTAAAAGTTAAAAATATTATAGCAATACTCATCCCCCATACATTATGAGATCTTTCAACGATTGATATATTTATATGTACAACGATTTAATAATTAAACTTTATTTTTTTTTTAATTAATAATTTTAAAATATTTCTCAACAAACCATATGTGTAATTTCTCTTTGACTTACTATTAATTTTGTGAATTAAATTTCAATAAATAGGCCAATTTTTTCTTTTAGATTAGTTTTCTCAGTTATAAAAGTTCATTTTTTTAAATAAAAAAGAGACTATTAGCGTCGTTGTATTTGTTTCTCTAGTATATCACTACATTTTTGCTATTATCATGTATGTACGCCACAAAATTACATATTATCGATTACAAATACATATACGGAGATGAAAGCAATACAATTTTTTAATTAGATACATACTGTTAAATTTTCACTATTTTGTGTCGGAACACACAAATATATACTATTTCTCACAAAATTCCACAATTATAATCAGACAGAGCGGAAATCTCTATTGATGCTTGTAACATATATCTAATATTAATTCATGAAAAAAACTTGTCAGTAATAAATGTATGTAGGTATACATATTTTTTATAAACTTAATAAGGAACTCGAGATGCAATGTATGTGAGTTTCTTCATAAATGAAATATAAAATTAATGAAGAGTATAATTAATTATAATAATCTATTACATCTTTTCTTTAAAAAATGAAATGTTTTCAACTTTTATTTAATGTATGCTTCATTTAAATGCACATTATATATACAATATCAATACATTAGGCTTTCACGACCCTCGTGATCAGAGAAAAAATTTTTTAATAAATCTATAAAAAAAACAAATAATAAATTGCTATCTTAATATTTCTATAGCGTTTTTTATCACGACTTTGTCGTCTCGCAATACACTGTAGATACTATCATGTCACACTAAACGTATGTCACATTTCTCATGTATTATATACATCGTACATCAAAAGATACACTTAATCGAATATTCATAGGCACTTATACAAAAAGCACATAATATATTTCCTATTCCTATTAATTCTTTAAACTATTACCATTACTACACTTTATAAAAAAACAATGATTAGAATAAAATATAATGTTTCTTTTTCGTTCGAGATTATATCTATCGTAATTAATTTTGTGATAAAAAAAGTATATACACGCATACAATTCTTTTCATTAAATAAATTGTGATGTAGATGTTACATATGATGTAGATGATATCTATGTGCCATCGTCATCGATAAAATTCTTACAAAGTTAAATTAATGCAAAATAATTCATTTCTAAATATAATTGGAACATATGCATATATATATATATATAGATAAATTGTCAAATTATAATCATCTTGCATATATCTGATTTTAGATTTCTGTTCATAGTACATGAATTTTTATTATAGATCTATCTTGCATATTTTATATGCTTTTTATTTTAATTAGATACCAAATAATTCTTTAAAAAATTTTGTTTAGGAAAATGGCACCTTTTTTTCAACTGTGTGTTTAAAGCATATTTTCTAAAAGATCTATTATTATAATATTGTAATAATAAGAATTTCAATATTGCTCTTATATGTGCGTCAATATATATTAAACCAAAGATATATAAATCTAACATAGTATATCAAAGAGAGTAAATAGATAGATAGGGGTAGGTAATTCTATTTATCATTTTTATGAGCAACATTGTACTAGACTAATGGTTTCTGCATATCATCCAAATGTTTTCTTAAATATGTGATGAAGTCAATTAGACTAGTGGACATGGCTCTATCTACAACTGTTTGTGGTATCCACCCCTTAAGATTTGTATTTAAAATCCAGGTGAAACGACATTTGGCTTCTTCGTCAGACAAGTCTTCTGTTGCAAAACAACTTATACCATTTTCACCTCTTAAAAATATTTAAAATAGCAATTAATTCTCTTATAACTTTTTTATACACTAAAAAATATAATTTCTTTTAATGTTTCTCTCTTACCTAGTTATATTTGGACGTATCTGAACCAATGCCGTAGGGACAGATATACCACTGTTGATATAATAATCGCCGCATTTCTTACGATGTCTCAAGATAACAAAATCTCGCGCTGTGATGAGACCACCACCATAAGAACTTGTTGCTTGATAAACGATGTCCGTGTCTTCATCGATATTCTTAGAAAAGATAATTGTTGCAATATTAATAAAACATTATTTAATTTTAATTAAACAATAATAGAAAGAAAATATAAAAATTACCTCTAATTTTATCGATTCTGTCACAAGTTTGTTCCACAAAGGAAATTCCTCGATACCATCAAACAATAAATCTATTAATATACTAGCAGGCACGTCGATAATGCCCTGAAACAATTAAATAGCTTTTATTATTTCATAAAATGAGAAAATTTATTTATTTAGACGCACGTAAAGAAAAAGAAAAAAATTCTGCATTTTTTATTATTTATTAATTTATTTATTTTAATTTATGCTATATGTATGCTAACTTACAGTGATTCTCATGACCTTTCCATCTAATTTCCATTCTGATGGCAGCTGCATATAAGACACTTCGTCGCCATCAGTTGTTATAGTTTCGACCTTCCATTCTTTTGATGTTAATAAGTTGTAACAGTTTTGCAACATTTTAGATGCCCTCGTTTTATATTCGTCGATCTAAAAAAAAACCTTTTAATCTAACAACACCATATTTAGAAATATTTAAAATTCTTTTTCTAAGAAATGGAAATATATCCGTTTATAATAATATGAAATTTTAGAAATACAGCACTAATGCAATAATTAAAAAAGTATTGAATAAAGTAAATTTTTCAATTTGTTATTGCATTAATGTAAATTTTAAATGATCTGATTTGTTGCACTCTTTCATTAATAATTTATAATATAACGTGATATGATATTTCAATATTTTATACATATCAGAATGACAAAAATGATTTACTTTTTGCAATTTAATTAAAGAGCTACAAATCATATCATGTAAATCTGAAAATTAATGATTTGTATAATGGATTTAATGATAAATATTGTGTATGTAATATACTGGCAAAATATTGCAAATATTTTTATGTAATTTTGTTCTTATACACATCTCTTTTTTACAATATAAATTAATGCAAGTGTGTATTACAATTAGAATAAAAGTAGAATTTCATTTATATTTTCGATTAATTAAATTTTGTTTGTTCAAATAAATCTTTTTCTGCAAATTATATTTTGCTATTTTCTCTATTATCAAATTTATTTATAAAAGATTAATAGAGATTAAAAGATTTCATAAAGTAGTAATACATTGACATAAACAGACATATTCTTATTTTAGATAACTCACGAAAGACATTTCATCGCTCGTTGACGATTTTATCCAATTGTTTCTTGGGTTGCAACTATTCTCTATAGGCTTGGGCAAATACTTCAACGTATCACCGAGAAAGAACGGGCGTATGATCGTGCGTATAAAGATACGTATGTTTAACATATTTAGAATTAACATAATGTAACGAATAATTAACTAAGAGAAACGCAACCGCTTACAGATTAAAATTTAATATGACAGAACGCGTAGAAACAAGTCGATAATAAAGCATAGCCAACTAACAATAACCTTCATCTATATTTTTCTTATTCTCACCCCAGACTTTTTTGCTATCTCTTGCTGACTGAAAGATTATAGGACACATTATTATGTGTATTAAATATATTTCATAATATTATGGATATTTTCCTAAATAGATTCGACATTGATTATTTATACAAGATATTAATTATTTACATTAATCTTTATATTAATAACATGATTAGTACTCAGCATGTATTTCTAGAATTTAAAACATTAAATAAATTTATTTAAATTTTATATAAAGTGGAATAGATAACAATATAAACATAAATAGAAAAATGTTTTGTGGAAAATCATATATATATATATATAAAATAAAAATATTTTATATCGCAAAATTAATTTTATCAGCATTAGTAGAAACGCGCTATAGTAAAGTCAAACAGAATAGCAACAGAATAAAATTAAACAAAATCTTACTATATTATTAAATATTGTTCGAGAAAGTCTGTATCATATTATAAAGCCGTTAGATTTTAGTTTTCTCGAAAATTCTCGGACGGAACGTTATTTTTGCGGACAAAGGCAGATATTTTGATTTTTTTCGGGCTCTATGTCAAGAAGTCAATATCTAAATCAAAACAAATAGAGTATCGTTGTCGATTTACAATTAGTCGAAATAATCGAACTAGCTCGATGCCTTATTTGGATAATTCGCTACCGGGAGCCTTATTCCTTGTTTTCATATAGTCTCACTGTACCAAAAGTCATACGGAACACATGCGTTTATCGAGAAACGCGAAATTATGATATAAATTCTACAGTTTTACTTAACTTTGATCTTGATAAAGTTTAATTGTTCAATTCTGGATTGATATGACACGTGTGCTCTGTTATCTCCTCATTAGAGAGAGAGAGAGAGAGAGAGAGAAAGAGAAAGAGAGATATCGGTCAGCATTATATGGAAACATATATTTATTTTAAATTCTCAATTACTGATGCGATCTTAGATTTGATATGTATATTCTGTTATCTCTTTATTAATCTCTTCATTAGATATCAGTCGATATATGCGCATTTTAAATTCTCAGGAATATATTTATATTTATGTGATCAGTTAAAGGATATAATCGGAATCACACCCTAAATTTATACGATTTTATTGACAAATTGTATGCGTCAATTCATTTGTTTCTTATTTTCACAATCTTCTTTGATTGTATATGTTTATCTAAACATTCGTCGATGTCATTTTACCATTAATTTATGTTTTGAATCAATGATCAATAAGTAAATAAAAAAATTTAATTTTACCAACCTTATCAGGTGTAAGTTTTGCTAGAAACATAGATAACTCGCTGGACCTTGATAATCTTCTTGAGTCTTGCTTTTTGGAAATGTCTTCATCATCGGAATGACTTGGGGAATCCACAGGTGTAAAAAATGTGCTCATGTGATCGACGTTTGCTGCATATTGTCGTGATTCGGTAATGACGTTTTGTAGTAGAGGAGTTCTTTCTGTATCCGGGAAATCTAAATTCAAAATTTCTTGATATCTTTTTATGTTTTCTAATTAATGTGTGAAATTACAATCAAATTATAATGATCTCTCTTTCTCGATTTTACTTTATTGTGTGTTGACTAAATTGATCTCTTTTTGTAAAATATTAATTCATAATTAAATTTTCTACCTCACTACATCTTGTTATTCTTTATATTTTATTAATTATCGATTTAAAAAAAGGGAAAATTAAATCATTAAGAAAAGCTTACTTCGAATCCAATTTCTTGCTTGAATTTCCTGAGGTATCACGCGAAAATCAAAGAACCAAGCCTCCGCCCAGGATAACACAAAAGATGTTAAGATTAGCAGAACTTGAAATACTGGTTGATTAGCTGATGTCCACTGAAAAACACGATATATTATGAATTAAGTCAAACAAATTGATAAATAAAGATAATACCCAGCAAACACCAAATAATATTTATATAATTGTTAGTTGTAATTTCCCACTCAACAATATAACTGTTACATGTTATGCAGCAACAGTTACATAACATGTAACAGTTATATTGTTGAGTGGGAAATTACAATTAACAATTATATAAATGTTATTTAGTGTTTGCAGGGTACATAGATATTTCGGGAATATTTACATCAAAAAGAAAAACTTTTGCAATTAGAAAGGCACATGTTGTGGCAGTTGATATCTGTAAAATATAAAACCCTAAATTATTGTTCACATTACACATTATTGTTCACATTACAAATTTGTTAAAAATAATATTTTAAATAAAAAACTCGTTATGGGAAGTTATTTTATTTTTTTAAATTTTATTTTTGCTATTTAAGTCAAATAGTCTATTAAATTTTTTTTGTAAGTAAGTGATTAAAATAAATATACTCACAGCTACAATGATCCAGTGATTGAGATATAATAGCGCGTAAAAGAGCAACAAGACGGTGAACCTGCAAATTGCTGCCATCTGAGAAGATGAAATCCGTAAAATCTCTGCTCCCAATAAATAATGAAAAATTATGATGAACTGAATGTCACTGTCGTCATCCAGTTAATTAAGTTCATTGATGATGAACGACAGATATACTTACCACAATGTCAAATAAAGATGTCTTTATATGATAGTGTATCACCTGATTTAGGAAAGCTGTATTTAAACTTTCACCTGCAATCTGGAAATATAATAAAGATAAAAAATTTCATTAGAATCTCTTAAAAATGATCTTTGAATTATTTATTTAATTAAATATTCAAAGAGAAAATGAGAAGACTGAATAATATAAAATTATAATACAAAAAGAAAGCTCAATTAAACAAGACAAAGCTAGAAATTTGTTAAAAGACTGTTGAAACAAAGACATGAACAGAAATAAAAGGAGAATCTGCAGATATTGAAGTAAAAATATAAAGTAAAAAAAAGTAATCTCTAATAAAAATTTCGAATAAAAAGTAGTAGCAATCCAGATAACTAAGTGCAATTAATTATTATCATGTGCTAATAATAATACATACAACAATAATTGTTGGCAATATTGACAGCAATCTCAGAAACAGTTAGTTATTTAAACAGTTAGTTATTTAACAAGCAAGTTAACAGTTAGTTATTTAAAAAGCAAGTCGCATGCATTATATTAAAATGTTAAATTTGCAAGATAATATTTCAATCTATATTGATTAATATATGAATAATGTTTTGAATACGAGTAATGTTTTGATCGAGTTACAACATACCATTGTGCAAATGAGCCACATGAGAAATGTAAGAAGAAGATCGAAGGTAATGAAGAGACAAAAGAAACGCCTGACATTGGACATTCTGCCGTTATGCCGAGCTCCTGCAATCAAATCCTCGCTGAAGATAATATCCGGCGTTCTCGTCATACTATGTTGGGTAACTGAACTTCTTTGGGAGTTGATGGAGCCACTCAGTATGGCCTCAGCGGCCATCCTAATTTGTCTTTCATCTTCTGCCATTCCTCTGATACACTTTTGATATCGTCGTCGTCGTCGTAACGTCGACCTTTAAAGTAATAAAGTGATTATTAATTCTTAATATATAGTCACAATAATAATACTAGTACAATTCTTCATTTTAATTACTCTCGTTCTACATTTTTACTGTTTTCGTTTTAGAATCCATTTCATTTTAAATGCAGAAAATGTGCAGCTAAAATGAGTCTAACAAGTCAACAATAGTCAAACAATATACAGATATCCATGTTCTCCAAGAAGAGCAAATACTAAGATGTATTGAAGATGTAGACGCTGGATTGTATAATATGTATTTTGCCAACATCCGATGAATTCTTATAAATCCTACGTGCATAATATATATTTATAGTATTGTTGCATACATGAATAAACAATGATGTAAAGTATACTTTTTTGTATAAAATAGTATTAGAAATCCATTATTTTACTATATTCTTCTTTTATGTAAATATAATCTCTAGATATATTAAGTGAAATTTTTTTAATAAAAAATATAGAAATATTGGAAACAATATTCTGAAAAAATCAATGTTTCTTGTTCTTATTATAAATTTGCTTCAATTATTAACTATTATAATTTTCATATAAATAAGCAATAAATAATTTACATGGAATAAAAATATTTACGATATGAAAATAGAAAAAATAAAAATTTACATAATCGCAGGAAATTATAAGAAGTTATATTATAATTTTTCGTATAGTATAAGCATACAAATATAAATATACTTAACAAGGATACAAAATGTTTTGTTCTTTATAAAATCGTGCATATTTTTCTTTATGATTTCTTTTGTGCAACAATCTTTTCTTTTATCTACCTGAGCAAGTTCATTATTCATATTGTTAAATATTTGAAAAATATTAAAAATCAACATTATATATAAGTAATTATATATTTAATATATAGAGATATTTATATCTGTATATATCTTAGATATATCTATTCTCTCAATTGTGCGAACAATCGATATTTTATATCAAACTCGATAACGCTATGTACACATTAGACGTGATAGAAAATATACTTTATATGATATTTGCAATATTTAGTCTTCTGCTGAATAAGCTTTTTATAATTGCAAATAAAAATTACATTTATTAAAATATAATTTGACAGTATTATAAATATATAATTTTGACAGTATTATAATCATTATTTAAAATGTAATATAATTGAAATTTAATATAAATTGCAATTGTGTCTTAAAATATTATTTTTCTTTCTATTATACACATTTAATCTCTCTCTATTGTCTCAAAACATATCCTTCAAGTATTTAATCTGCGCATGTCTAAATCTAGATTTTCTATAAAATCTTTATCCTTTTTCTAAACTGATCTTTATGTTATTTTAATTTCAAAATATAACTATTTCATACAACATTAAATATTTAATTATTACATACACATACGCATATATACACATAAGATAATGAGATAAGTTGATCATCGTACTGCATGAAAGATAAATTGGCATTAGTTTTATATATATATATATATATATATATATATATATATGTATGTATGTATGTATGTATGTATGTATGTGTATATATACAATAAACTTCCATGAACAAGTTTGCAACTGAAATCAATGATAACATATCACTGTAACGATAGATTAAAATGGAATTGCTTATGAAATACATGGCTCTCTTCTTTCTTTTGTGAATATATATTATTATACTTAATATTTAACTCTTCAAAAAATAGCATTATGTGGAAATATTAATCATAGATGTAAGATTTTAGTCTCAATTGATATTTTTTCAAATTCTCTCAGTTTATTTTTAAAAATATATTTTTATCTTTTTTTCATTTTGCGTATGGATGTCTTTTTTCATTTTATTCTGTTATCAACACATTTAAAGTCCTGCTACGTATATAGAAATCTTAAAAAAAAAAAAAGAAATTATAAAACTGATATAAAACTTATATAATATATTGCTTTATATCGAATATTTTCAACATATGACTATATTGACTGAAAAAATAAGAGAAATATTCCGTTCAGATTTGATAAGCGGTATTAAAACGATAATTAATTCGACGTCCTAACCTCAACAAGTTTATAAGCAGTTGTTTATTTCGATTCACTTCGTCGAGGGACGCAGACAGGGGAATTTCAAGGATTGACGAAAGAACGAATCTTGCACATTTTTGCCATACAAAAACACATATTTAACGTCAAGCCAAGTACGCGAAGATAAAAGCATCGTCGTATCGCGTAGTAACCGATTATTTTCGCTCATGATTTTTTTTTCTCGTTATATCTCTTACCGTTTCGTAGCTGGGAGTGCTCATAGATGCGATCGCGCAGCAGAATTGTTTAACGAAATAATGTCACGCACGTGCATCGCGCGATACTCGCACCTCGGCTCCACTTCACACCACTGTATTGTATATTGTATTCCGTATCACCGAATATAAACAAGTGACAAGGGAGAACGATGACGTTTCTTCGGCGAGGCGAGCGTCGTATATACATATGTGTATGTGTGTGTTTTTAATGAGTCAGACAGCGCGCATCGACACACCTAACTTGACATGACATATATAAATATCTCTCTCATGGTCTCATGTGCGTATCATGAAAATGCAAAATCTATGATACGCAAGACACATTTCTTCATGCTAGCTGATAATACATTACAAGAAAAGTACCTTATTCAATATATATTATTTCCAACCTAATCATTTACTATGTCTGGATATATACATCTAGCACATAAATCTAAAAGATAACTGGAAAAAATATCATGCAATGATATAAATATGTGGATAATTATATAAAATTACGACAAATTATAAGGTTTTTTTCTTCGTTGTACATTTAGATTTAATTTAAATTAAATAAGTAACAAAGATGTATTAATATGAAGCATTTGCTTTATATTTATATTAAGTATAGTAAAAGCTATATAAAGTATTCTAAAAATATATATATGTAAAAAGAAAATAATAGCTTAGTAAAATTAGCTTAGTATTGAAGTTTTTGTTCGAATTGGCGTTTATACTATGAAATAATATAATTTTTAATATTTATACAAGTACATATGTTATCTGTCATTTTACATTAATAATATAAGACAATATATCCTAAATAAATGCTTATAATACATAGTCATGTAGATTTTATATAGATATGATTTTAAGATATGAATGCTCTCTAGGAATGTTTTTTTTTCCTTTTTATGAATCGAATAGCTCATTTATAACTTTAGATATTTCATAAAATTTTGCATATGTATATATAATGTTCAAATATATCATAAATAAATATTATTTCTATCACTTCTCAGTATATATATATATATATATATATATATATATATATATATTATATATATGTATATATATGCAGTATATATATATGTATACCTCAGCTCTCTCATTCCCTCCTCCCCGCCTATTAAACATTTTATACATATATATATATTATATTCTATAATATTTCTCCAAAGATTTTTTTTCATAAAAAATATAAAAAGTGAGATATTATTTACATGATAAAAAATTATTATATTTGTATCACTGAAATACTTCTTTAAAGGTACTCTAATAGTCGATTCAATCGGGGAGAATAATAGTTCGTAAAGAGTCTTCCGGAAAAGTTTCTATTTCCGCGATGGTACCGAAGTTGAAGGGAACCGCTATTCCACCATCGAAAACTAAACCTGCATCGAAACACTGTGATCTCACAGTAATCTTTTTACAAAAACCGCGAGGACATATACGCTTCGAAACGAGCATTGCATCAGTTACTATCATATCTCTTATAGAATAACACAGTCTGGAATCCTCTGGAAATAAATACATATATATATTTTAATAAAATTTTTTTTAAATAAAATATTCTATATAAATATCATTTTTTGTTGTCATAGTACATGTACCAACCTGCATCAAACCGTAAATTGCTATTGTATGTTGAACAGATAGTCTCAATTTCGTTATTGGTAAATCGTCGCTTAGTATCTATAAGGTTCAATATTTCTTGCACAGTTTGTTGACTCAGACTGTTTATAGATTTATACCAAGATGTTGATCCAGTACCAGTGCTTACACACAAACCAGAGCTTTTAACTTTTTGATACTTTTGTTCTTTATCTAATTTTATGAACAAGGAACTCGTTCGTGCTGATAATGTTTCACCCATGAATACCTAACAATGAAAACCAAGCTAACATAGGTATAAAAGAACAAGTCGCATTATTCGACTATTAATATGTCTCAAGGAACATCAATTAACTCACTTCATTAAGTGCCAACCAAGGTAGATGCCTTTCTCGTGGCAATTCATCAGGATTGCCTTTGAAATTCTCAGTTACATAAAATCTACAAATAATATGTACATATAATGTTTAAAGTTGATACTATAACAAAGACTAAAGAAATATAACATACAAATTTTGAAAATAAATATATAAACTATTGCTAATAACTTTACAATCAAATAAATGTGTATTGATGAATAATAATTTAATTAAAAAACATTAATATTATATTAATATGTATATGACGTGCCTTTCACCACCTACAATGCGTCCTTCTTCATGCATGTGAAAAGGAGCTTTCCATATTTCTTCTCCTTTTAAAATAATCCGAATTCTCCTTCGCATAAGTATACTGTAATGTCCTGCTTTTAACATTTCAAAAATCTCAGTTATGTTTTTTGTATATTTTGTTGGCAACAGAAGATAACCTTCTGACTTTTCAGGATATGAATTAATGCCCATTATAGGTTTTTTATTGTCAAATATTAAATTTGAAGCTAAAAGAAATGTTCCATCACCGCCAATTGGCAGAACTAAATCTGCCCATGTAAAATATGATTGATCTAAAGTTGTTCTGAAAATATATGATATATATTTATATTGTGATAAATATTTCTATTTGAATTTAGAACAGAAAAGTAGTTTATTGAAATTGGTATGTATATAATCTTTAGAAGTCTATCAAATCTAGAAAAATGGATAAACAGTATTGTATGTAAATTCTATGTTTACACAATATTATATATTTCTTCATTAAAAATTCTTATTTACCTATCTATTATCTTATATTCCACATTCATCTTTTGTAAAATTTGAATTACTTCATCTTTCACTGCTTTGGTGGCAAAATGACTAGCACGCATAGCATCGTAATCAGAGCCTCTTTCTATTAGTTTTAACTTCAGCTGGGTTTCATTGAGCTCAGGTTCCCGTAACTTTTCAAAATGGTATCTCGATAGTTTTGCCACAATAAGTACCTTTTTAGGCACAAAACTTGATTCATTTCGGAAGAAAATATATAGACCTTTGTGTGCATAAGGAGAATGAGATTGTAAAAACTGCAATATTCCTGGAAAAAAAATCATATAAAATATTAATCTTTAAATCAATTTCTTTGATTATATCAGTAAAAATAAAACTTAAAAATAAATTTTAAATATCAATCATAGAATTAAAAATAAATTTTAAATATCAATCATAGAATTAAGCAAGTACATAATATTCTAAGATAATATAGCTTTACTAGTATACTTTACCATTTAATAAAGTCATTTAAAGATTATATTGAAATTGAGTTTGTGAAAAAAATATATAGATATATGACATTTATATGATATTATTAATATAATGAGAAAATAAAAGAAGAAAGATAAAAAATTTAATCATTCAGAAATATCCTCTATATATTACTTTATGATTTCCAATATAATTTATCAATTCAATTGTCTCTATTTAATTTTATAAAAGTACAAACATGTAAAAACATTTTAATGTTCAAATATATATATTAAATTGAAATATATATGAACAAAATATATCTAATAAAACATGTTTCTTGTCTTGCCTTTGATTTGGTTTATATCTTTAAAAGATAATTGTATAATTACGCAATAAGAATGATTAGAATCGTAAAAGAGTTGATACAGTTGTCAGTTAAAATGTTATTAAAGAACATGTTCTTCCATATAATGCATCATATATAAAACTTAAATGTTTATAGTATAGTTGTATTAATTTTTTTATATATAATTTATAAAATATTCATTATTTCACAAAAGCTTGTCATATTATTACGAAAAGTTTTATCAAATTATGACATTAATATAGGCAATCTATTATTTCTGTTTATATAAAAATATAAAAAATGCACTTGATAAGATAAACTTTGTGCATAATTTTCTTCACTTTTTAATCCTCTCTTACTCTTTGTTGATATATCTATTATCAGACATCTTTTTCAAAATATAATTGTAAATAATAATAAACGAACGATATAAGATATTTCTAAAATTCCAGACATAGAAAAAAATTAAAAGAAAACCAGCAAACAATCGGTCAGAAATCTCAGTCGAAAATTTTCATACTTACTGACATGACTGACAATTTTACGAAAATGATTGAAAACCATCATCGCATCATGATCGAAGTATACTGCTGTGTAATATCGAACTATCGCGAATAACAAATCGCTCCGAAAGTTTCACCAGAAAGAAGCTTGAGAGCGGCCATACCTCCGATTTAGGTGGAACTCGTATTTGAAGCGCCTTTAAGTCCACAAAACGTGGATATTGAACTACATAACCATTTCCATAAAACTTCTCAAAGGGTAAAGCCTCTTGCACAATGCTAGGCAACAGGCAACAGAGAGAAAACTGAGAGATGTCATGGCCTGCTTTTAGGTGATTCCTGAAAGCAATACTCCCTCTATGAACATTGAAAATGTGGACATGAACTACAAAGCCAATGTCCATGAATGTTCTCAGAGGGTATCATGTGCACAATTTCTGGTTTCGTTCCGTGCTATGTGCACGAAATGCCGGTAGCATCAAGGTGCAATTTCATTGACGCTAGAAACCAGCGGCAAATTAAAATCACTAGACTTTCTCTAGATATGGCGTCAATAAAATAAAGTTCAAACAGTTTCAACTTTTTCAGTGTGTAAAGCGGCCTTTTCATTGACACTACTTTTTAGCGTCAATGAAATTGCACCTTAACAGTTGGCAGCCCTACGAGATAGGCTGTGCAGCACTGCGCGTATATAAAATAAATTTGAAATCGCTTCTAGCCTAACCATCTTCACGCGATCGACTTTATTTGAATTGCACGGCATCGCATCGAATTATGATGCGGCGCCGATTTGTTCGAACGTAATTCGGGACATCGCGATGCTGTATAAGCGTCGAATGAGCACGAATTGTCACGCAAATATGATAAATCACATCTACTCACCGTTCACCGGCTGTTCCACAGGCCGCTCCACTCGCTCGCCTCGGGACGTCCCATTCCGATCTTGATGCACACAAACTCACACGATATCATCAACGCGAACGCGCGACACTTTATTCGGCACTCCCGATATTCGCTCGCATCCGATAATCATCATCAAGGGCGCAAATAACGCGACGCGACTTCGCTCCATCTTCGCGATCGCGCTATCACTGAACTGTGAAAAATAGCTGTCGCGCACTTTCACCGACATATTATGAAAGTCGCGCGATCATCCTTGGACACTTTCGACGCTCTTTCACTCGCGATATTCGTTTAAAAACGGTTAAAAGACGCGAAAAATGCGGACGTACGACGATTCGTGTAACTGCGTATGACTCCGATTCACGTATGACGCGTATGACGTAGCGATCACGCGCTAACATGGCGGCCGAACCAGTGCGCATTCGTTTCTGCGCACTGGTTCGGCCGCCATGTTAGCGCGTTCGCTACGTCATACGCGTCACTGCTACGTCATACGCGTCATACGTGAATCGGAGTCATACGCAGTTACACGGATCGTCGTACGTCCGCATTTTTCACGTCTTTTAACCGTTTTTAAACGAATATCGCGAGTGAAAGAGCGTCGAAAGTGTCCAAGGATGATCGCGCGACTTTCATAATATGTCGGTGAAAGTGCGCGACAGCTATTTTTCACAGTTCAGTGATAGCGCGATCGTGAAGATGGAGCGAAGTCGCGTCGCGTTATTTGCACCCTTGATGATGATTATTGGATACGAGCGAATATCGGGAGTGCTGAATAAAGTGTCGCGCGTTCGCGTTGATGATATCGTGTGCATCAAGATCGGAACGGGACGTCCCGAGGCGAGCGAGTGCAGCGGCCTGTGGAACAGCCGGTGAAGAACGGTGAGTAGATGTGATTTATCATATTTGCGTGACAATTCGTGCTCATTCGACGCTTATACAGCATCGCGATGTCCCGAATTACGTTCGAACAAATCGGCGCCGCATCATAATTCGATGCGATGCCGTGCAATTCAAATAAAGTCGATCGCGTGAAGATGGTTAGGCTAGAAGCGATTTCAAATTTATTTTATATACGCGCAGTGCTGCACAGCCTATCTCGTAGGGCTGCCAACTGTTAAGGTGCAATTTCATTGACGCTAAAAAGTAGCGTCAATGAAAAGGCTGCTTTAAGGTGCGGCCTCATTGACGCTAAAAAGTAGCGTCAACCATTGGTTGAACAAAGAGGTAAGTATACTTACCTCTTTGTTCAACCAATGGTTGACTCTACTTTTTAGCGTCAATGAGGCCGCACCTTTACACACTGAAAAAGTTGAAACTGTTTGAACTTTATTTTATTGACGCCATATCTAGAGAAAGTCTAGTGATTTTAATTTGCCGCTGGTTTCTAGCGTCAATGAAATTGCACCTTCAGAGTATAACAAGACACTCATATATATAAATTGATAGTAAATAAATTATGCAATCGTTCGATTAATTCTTTAAATATTTATATATACCGAACGAAAAAGCGAACCAGAATGTAATCGTTCGATTAATTGATTAAATACTTATATATATCGAACGAAACGATGAATCGGAATGCAATCGTTCGATTAATTAATTAAATATTTGTATATATCGAATAAAAAAGCGAGTCGGAACAGAAATCTATTCTCTGCTCCTATTGACGAATATTTTCTGTTCCGCATATTTGTTGATAAATAGTTTCTATTCTTTATTTCTATATCGCAAAATATCGTAAATCAACGTAATATAATTAATCCTATAAATAACTCTTGATAATTAATATTATACTGCGCTCCCATATATCGCAAAATAAAATACATCTATACAACTTACAATCTATGACTAAGGAATCGACTCATATTGGCGCTCAAGTCAATGGAAATATTTTCAAAATAGAAATTATATACAGTATATCTTATCGATAACGAATCAAGTAAAAAGAAATTCTCTAATTTTTTATGAAAGATAAAGGTAACATTAATTTTGTACGGAACATCATTCAAGGCTTCATTATTTCAGGTAATTAATTTTATTTTACTATTATATAAATGGACCGAACTTTTGTTACTTTATTGCAGCGTTCAAAAATCATGTTATTGATGTATTTTGTATTACATATATACTATATACATACCTTCAATTACTGACGTGCATATTGGATTTAGTTGTAGAATAATTGGAATCAAAATAGGAAAAAGAATTTATTTATATGTGACGAATTTATATATTTGTGTAATCTCTGTAATAATTTATTGATATGAAATTAAATATCGTGATAAAATCAGTAAAAATGAAAGCAAATTTTCATATTCGCTTTTTAATTTTAATTCCAGAAATATATTTTTTAATAAAATAGATATCGAGTCGTTTCTTTATGATATAAAGTTTAAATATCCTGTGACTGTATGATATTAATGTTAAAAATTAGAAAATATAATATTTGAACACTATTTCGTTAAATAACTTCAATAATTTTATAAAAGTTATCTCAGTATACAATTATTCTCTTGTATATATCGTCTTGAACTTAAGAAAATCTTCAGTGTTTATTTAAAATTTATTATAGTTGCCGAAAGAAAAAGTCGCACTATACAGATACACGCTTCGCTTACACTTTATTAATTCATTTGTAATACATTAATTAAGTCTGTTTAAATAGCATCGAGGTTACCTAACGTATTACTTTTGTGTAACTATAGACAATCATCTAACTTAAATCTCTCTCTCTCTCTCTCTTCCTTTCTCTCTCTCTCTCTCTCTCACTTTCACTCGCATGCATGCATTCTCATTTTCTCTCTTTTCCTTTCATTCTCGTTCTCGCTCATCGCTTTCTCTCCTTCCATGTATTTCCTTCGTTTATCTTTATCCGCTCAGTTATAATCAATCTGCTCAGTTATAATCAATCTGCTGTTATAATCATCGATATCAGTTATTATTATTATTATTACCATTGTCTCTCTGATTTTATCATTATATACTATATGTATATATACTATATATATCGTAAGATCGACGTTTAAAAACTAAAATTCGTATAAAAAGCGTCGTTATACGTACTAACAATGTAACTGTACTATTTAAATAATAATTAAATTTTAAAAAATTATTTTTGTTGTGTGTCGGCTTGTCGTTTGAATGTATAAGATGTCTAAACGTATTGGCTACTGTAATGACAATGCGAGGCGCGGCACGACGTGTCTCTCTTATAAGAACAATCGGTAAGATCGACAAAATGCCCCATATAATCTGCACTCTTTTTTTTTACATCAGTATGTATATATACACGAGAACTCTGATTACAATCTTATTCCTATTACAAACAGTAATAATCATTTTTTATTATTATTTCTACATAGACTGAAATTACGTGGCCGTGCAGAATTCTTTGAATCACATGTTTGAAAACTGATAAATGAGAAAAATAAAAATAAACAAGAGAAAAATAGTAAAAAGATGGAATTTTCTTCATCATTATTTTCACAAATTAATAATACTGAATATCACGAACTCGAAAGACGATTTAATATATAAATATCAATAATGATTAATATATAATTTTCGTAGACAAATTACTGAAATAAAAATATCTCTTAAAATCTTTCATTTTTTTGCAAGACATCATATACAATAAACAAATCTTTTTGTGAACGAAACTAAAAAATTATTTACCCAAATTAGGACGCCACAAAAAAATTCATAATCATCGTATGATCCCGTCAGCGATCTTACCGCATGTTCGTTTTTTAATTACGGCGATGAGACGTCGCTATTTCAGTCGCACCTGAACGATATCAATTAACTTTTACTTCGTAGTCGCTCTGTCTCTTGCCGCTCATTTATACTCTAGTTAATACTTTTACACACTACGAATGTTTTTTTTTTCCTTTAAACAGTAATTATTTAGCACGTCACACTACGGTTGAACTCTCCCTCTTTTCTTTTCCCAATTTTCTCATTATTTATCAGCTATCCGCTATTAATAATGTACATCAATCACATACAAAACAAGATACAGTGTGAATGCTTCCGTTACATCATAGACACCGTCTCGCGTAAAATGGTCATACTTACAAAGGTACCATGGTTGATTATAATCGAAGAAACTCTCACTAATATCTGACACATCTATCATTCGCAGCGCAATATATCTCTTCGCGTTTATTCTATAGGTAACGCTTCCAAAATATTTCGCCTTGAAAGATGATCGACGCCAATTGTCGCCCTCAAAAAACTCCGCACAAACGGGAGAGAATTAGTGCGTAAGATTTAATTGGACTTTGGCGCAGTCAAAAATTTGGGATAATTCTTATTATAATAATACTACGCATCGCGTGGCGAATATAAATCTAGTTTCTCAACCAAAACACAATCACATACATTACTCTTAAAGAAATTTATTTTCTTAAAGGCGTTCGTCATGCAATGCACTTTTTACTGAATTATATCCGAATAATTTTTCACGCTCGTA